CATATTGACAGAAAATGTGGTTTTTAGACCAAAACATTTCACTCATTCTTTGACCAATACATTAAAACTACTTCATATTAATTACTATTCATTTTCACACTAGTTTTACCTTCAATTTGCAGCTTCAGCAACAGACTTATACACCCTCGCTGTGTGACGGAGAGGTTACGCAGGTCTTTCTCTCCTGCTGCTGTCAGACTGTACAACGAGAACTGCTGAGCCTGTACATGTCATTCATCTATAAATAGTAAAATACTGCCATACAGTCATAGATTGATACTTTATTGATCGCAGTAGGAGAAATTCCGGTGTCCAGTAGCAGCAAAAACACATCCATTCAAAATCTAAGAATAGTCATAATAATAATAATACAATTCATGTGCAATACAGCAATTCCAGATTGTCCAGTGAATGTCTCTTTATGTTTATCTTGCCCTAGTACTAGTAGTATAATGCATAATGTGTATTACTTTGCACTATATAGATAGATAGATAGATAGATATATTGATGTTGACAAATTTACAGCTAGCTAAGAAATATAGCAGCAACTTTTATTTAACCAAGAAAGTCCCATTGAGATTAAGAGCCTCTTTTTCAAGGCCCTGGACAAAAGTTGCAGACAATCACGTACATTGATAGATTTAAAAAATATACAAATTCATTAATGTATGGATTATAAATGATTGTGTGCGCCATTACTACGGTCCTGTATGTGCGCTGCAAGACTGAAATTTCCCCACTGTCAGACTAATAAAGGTTCTGTTATTGCATCTCTTTCAGGCTCGCACACACAGCACGAGAAGTTCACAACGGAGTCATAAAAGTATCCTGATTATGGGCGTGAGCGATCCATCAGGTGGAGTTTTGCCCCATGGCGGAGCTTAGAGCCCAGGGCCATGTTCTCTGTCCTGTCCCCCCCCCCCCCCCCCCCCCCCAGGGTCCCCATCTCCCATCTCCCCCTCCACTCACCCACACACTCCTCTAACAACGCCTGGGAGGAGGAGAACCGGGGTCCAGCCTGTTCCATTATGCAAACCGGATCTGAAGCGTGTCCACACAGAACGGCAGCTTCAGACTGAAACTAAAACCGTGGGAATGGAACTAAACCAGCGCTAATCCAGAACTGAAGCAGCAGTTAAACCCCGTCTAACCTCAGACTAAATACTTGAAATAAACGCTCAACCATGGCCAACACGGTTTAGGTTACCTTGAAATTAAAAATTGATAAATATACTGTAGATCAGGGGTGTCAAACTTATTTTGGTTGAGGGCAGAATAAAAAATGAAAGGGCTGGTCAGGGGCCATTATTATTATACTTTTTTATAATATGAAGGTATGACTTGTTCACATGAGTTAGATTGGATATTCTTTTCTGACTAGAATTAGTTCAGTTTCTGTGGACTGGACCAAAACTGGACCCAATATTGAAGGTATATAAGAGGATTTTTTACTTCCTGGTGGATCATGAAGACTATTGGTCCTCCCAACTGTCAATCATTCTGGTGATTTGTGCTCGTCCAATAAGACCAGAGAGTTTTGTTCAAAAAGTGGAGAGGGGAGGGTTCTTTCCTAAGAACATTGGGAAATCCTCTTTAATATCTTTAAGAAGAAATGTAACTGAAGACTAGTAAAAAAAAACAAAAAAACATAACAATACTAACTTCTAATTACATGTTGGCTTAAGATTTCTTATGGAACTACATTTGATGGTTGTTTTCTTGAGAAAATGAGTAACATAACATGCCATTGTCGCTTATTACCATTAACGCTGCTATATAATTTAACAATTTAAAATTATCTCAGGGGCCACTGGAAATGGTCTCGCGGGCCGGATCTGGCCCCCGGGCCTTGACTTTGACACCTATGCTGTAAATCCTTGACGATAATAATAATAATAACAGTTGCCATTTAAGCTTTTGTTTCTTGAGCTGGAAAAAGTATGAAGATTGTTTTGTCTGATTAAAGTTCATGATAAATAACGCTAATGGTCATTTGTAAACATTTATGGACATTAGTTATCCACCTCCAATGGACCAATGTGCTTTATGTGTTTGTTTTCATTTCTTATTGATTCTCTGATCCGTCGTTTGAGAATCATCAACTTAGTAAAGTCCCCCGAGACGACTGCTGTTGTGATCTAGGGCCCTAACAAAAATGAATTGGAATGAATTGACTTGTTTAAAAAGAGGTCGAACTTTAAATCAGTCCAACTAGTTAAAAATAAACAATTTTTGACATAAGTTGAAACCCGGTAATCGAAGACCCTTTCCTAAAACCGTAGAAAAGTAAGCAGTAACTTATTTCCCCGTGTTAAATATTCCTTGGCTTTTTAATCAGATCTAGCCGACGGGAAATCCAGATCCCTTTCATGCCCCTTTTCCTTTCGCTGTTCGGTTCAGGAGTTTCCATGGTAACGAGAGATGGAGAGAGAGAGAGAGTGAGAGAGTTGGAGACGGGCGAGCGAGCGCAAGGAGGGGCTGTAATTATGACTGATCAGGGAAGGGCGGGAGGAGAGCGCAGAGATACACAGGGCAAATGCGTCTTCAGGGCAGTTCCAGACGTCGGCGAAGAACGAGTCTGAAAAACCCAGTGGGAGAAAGAAAGTCCTTGAATGTCATTTGTGTGAAAGCTTCAGACCACAGTCCATGGAAACAACACATTTACCTAAATGACACAGCAGAGAGGAGGCATTTCTGCTTTAGTCCTGCATCATTACAGACAGACTTGCCCTGGGTCTGTCAAACTGTCATTGACAAACTTCGTGGACTCCAAACTTGTGAATTTTTGTATTAGCAGCAGTTTTGATTAATAGAAAATATCAAAAAACAAAGTGTCCAGTATTTAAGGTGGACCACAATCACATATATTTTGTTTTTTACCATATTACAGAAACATTAAGGTTTTCTGTTATAATTGTATAGGAGCTTTCCATAACCATCAATGTATGTGGCTTTACAATGAGGTAGAACATTCCCATACTGATTTTCGATTGACAAAGCTGGAGTTGCATGAATGACACCTTAAATCTCTCACTCCTTGCAACAATCAGATTTTTTTTTTCCACGGTCAGAAACAAATTAATGTCAACAAAGCGTTAAGATTTGCAAAGAGATACTGTATATAATGTAAATGTCGGTGAAGCTGGAGTTGGCTGGATAACACTTAAAAAAAATAAAAATAAATCTAATACAGAAGATATTTAATCCTGGGGTCTGTGTCTTCATCAAACGTCACAGTGACCTATTTAGATTCAAAATATAAACCACAGAAGTGATAAATATCTATTCTGATTCTGACCCAAAAATACACGGCCGTATAACCTTTTATCAATCAATCAAATGTTATTCATAAAGAGCTTTTCATACAAACATACATATATATAGACAAGATAGATGGAAAAAATAGATACTTTATTGAGTCCAGTAGAAGCAAAAATACATCCATCCAAACAAAAAAATACATTCAAAATAGTAATTCTCAAAGTAGCAGGTCCCAGCAGCAGATGTGGAGTCGCCGCTTGGTTCAGACCATTTTCTCTGCTCTGGTCCAGACCATTTTCTCTGCTCTGGTCCAGACCATTTTCTCTGCTCTGGTCCTCTGGTCCAGAGTGAGATGCTGAATGCTTCGTTAGCATTTAAAAAAGAAAGTTAGCATTCCTCCAGTGGATTTTTGCCTGATCCGCTTGGTTCGGACCATGAATCCTCTCTGCTCTGGTCTGAACCAGTGTAAAACCATGAACATTGTACTGCAGCAACATCTCAAAACAACAACTGTTTCAGCGCTACTTAGGACTTCCTGCCGTTAAGTAAACCCATGGTCCAGTATTTACGGCGGTACAAAAACATAAATTGTGCGGTATTCAAAGACGACGTTTTACATTAAAATTATGGTTTTAGGATATTTCATCATGTTTATTCCCGATTGACAAAGCTGAAGTTGGATGAATGACACCTTTACTCTCTCACCAGCGACATTCACAAAATGCGTGATTCTGTTTTGCTTAAAACAAAATATAATTACACAGAGAGCAAGACTTGGACATGGTTCCTCTACAGGTCCCAGCTCAGATCTGCTGCACACCCTGAAAATACTTGATTTTGTACGATAATTTGTTTTCATTCCAATAACCCCAGTGCTTTTTCATAAGTCTGTGCACTCGCAAATAGCTTGAGAAGAAATAACTTAGCTAGCAGTTATTAATTTGCGAAATAAAGTACAGTTGGCTCGTGGCGTCAACAAATTCAAATGCAAACTTGTAATTTTCCCTCTCGCCCAGGACTTCTGCTCTCCGTCATAAATCCTTGGATCTGTAATGAAGTCGGACAAGTGCAGCGCTAATGTCCAAAGCTGCACTATCTCTCATCACACAGAGAAGGTCGTTCATAATCCTCTGTGTCAAAGTAGGGTCGGAGTGAACCCTGGGCTGTGTCTCGGATCTGCTGCATCACAACAACGCTAACAGTTTTATCCAAGTATTAATAACTGTGGTAAACAATACAAATATTAAAAAACATATCTATATATTTAGACGATTTGAAAAAGAGTAGGTAGAAGTAAAGTTTGCATCCTTCCCCTTAGTACATGTTCATAATAATACTAATAATACATGGGTTTTATACTGTTTAACACACACACACACACACACACACACACACACACACACACACACACACACACACACACACACACGTTGAGACAGACACACAAAACTAAAACATCTAAAAGCAGGAAAGAAAAGTATTTTTTGAAGGAGGTTAGTGAGTCCGAGTTTCTGAAATGAGGGGGGAGAGAGAGTTCCAGAGGTGAAGGGGGAGAGAGTTCCAGAGGTAAGGGGGGAGAGAGTTCCAGAGATGAAGGGGGAGAGAGTTCCAGAGGTGAGGGGGGAGAGAGAGTTCCAGAGGTGAGGGAGGAGAGAGAGTTCCAGAGGTGAGGGAGGAGAGAGAGTTCCAGAAATGTGGGGGGAGAGAGAGTTCCAGAGGTGAGGGAGGAGAGAGAGTTTCAGAGGTGAGGGGGCAGAGAGAGTTCCAGAGGTGAGGGGGAGAGAGTTCCAGAGGTGAGGGGGCAGAGAGAGTTCCAGAGGTGAGGGGGAGAGAGAGTTCCAGAGGTGAGGGAGGAGAGAGAGTTCCAGAGGTGAGGGAGGAGAGAGCGTTCCAGAAATGTGGGGGGAGAGAGAGTTCCAGAGGTGAGGGAGGAGAGAGAGTTCCAGAAATGTGGGGGGAGAGAGAGTTCCAGAGGTGAGGGGGGAGAGAGAGTTCCAGAGGTGAGGGAGGAGAGAGAGTTCCAGAAATGTGGGGGGAGAGAGAGTTCCAGAGGTGAAGGGGGAGAGAGAGTTCCAGAGGTGAGGGGGGAGAGAGATCTAGAGGTGAGGGAGGAGAGAGAGTTCCAGAGGTGAGGGGGGAGAGAGAGTTCCAGAGGTGAGGGAGGAGAGAGAGTTTCTGAAATGAGGGGGGAGAGAGAGTTCCAGAGGTGAGGGAGGAGAGAGAGTTCCAGAGGTGAGGGGGGAGAGAGATTTCCAGAGGTGAGGGAGGAGAGAGAGTTCCAGAGGTGAGGGGGGAGAGGGAGTTCCAGAGGTGAGGGAGGAGAGAGAGTTCCAGAAATGTGGGGGGAGAGAGAGTTCCAGAGGTGAGGGAGGAGAGAGAGCTCCAGAGGTGAGGGGGGAGAGAGTTCCAGAGGCAAGGAGGGAGAGAGTTCCAGAGGTGAAGGGGGAGAGAGTTCCAGAGATGAAGGGGGAGAGAGTTCCAGAGGTGAAGGAGGAGAGAGAGTTCCAGAGGTGAGGGGGAGAGTGTTCCAGAGGTGAGGGGGGAAGAGAGTTCCAGAGATGAAGGGAGAGAGAGTTCCAGAGGTGAGGGGGAGAGTGTTCCAGAGGTGAGGGGGGAAGAGAGTTCCAGAGATGAAGGGGGAGAGAGTTCCAGAGATGAAGGGGGAGAGAGTTCCGGAGATGAAGGGGGAGAGAGTTCCAGAGGTGAGGGGGGGGGAGAGTTCCAGAGATGAAGGGGGAGAGAGTTCCAGAGGTAAGGGGGGAGAGAGTTCCAGAGATGAAGGGGGAGAGAGTTCCAGAGGTGAGGGGGGAGAGAGAGTTCCAGAGGTGAGGGAGGAGAGAGAGTTCCAGAGATGAAGGGGGAGAGAGAGTTCCAGAGATGAAGGGGGAGAGAGAGTTCCAGAGGTGAGGGAGGAGAAAGCGTTCCAGAGGTGAGGGAGGAGAGAGAGTTCCAGAGGCAAGGAGGGAGAGAGTTCCAGAGGTGAAGGGGGAGAGAGTTCCAGAGATGAAGGGGGAGAGAGTTCCAGAGGTGAGGGAGGAGAGAGAGTTCCAGAGGTGAGGGGGGAGAGTGTTCCAGAGGTAAGGGGGGAAGAGAGTTCCAGAGATGAAGGGGGAGAGAGTTCCAGAGATGAAGGGGGAGAGAGTTCCAGAGGTGAGGGGGGGGGAGAGTTCCAGAGATGAAGGGGGAGAGAGTTCTGGAGATGAAGGGGGAGAGAGTTCCAGAGGTAAGGGGGGAGAGAGAGTTCCAGAGGTGAGGGAGGAGAGAGAGTTCCAGAGGTGAGGGAGGAGAGAGAGTTCCAGAGGTGAGGGGGGAGAGAGTTCCAGAGGTGAGGGGCGAGAGAGTTCCAGAGATGAAGGGGGAAAGAGTTCCAGAGGTGAGGGAGGAGAGAGAGTTCCAGAGATGAGGGAGGAGAGAGAGTTCCAGAGGTGAGGGGGGAGAGAGAGTTCCAGAGGTGAGGGGGGAGAGAGAGTTCCAGAGGTGAGGGAGGAGAGAGAGTTCCAGAGGTGAGGGAGGAGAGAGAGTTCCAGAGGTGAGGGAGGAGAGAGAGTTCCAGAGGTGAGGGAGGAGAGAGAGTTCCAGAGGTGAGGGGCGAGGAGAGTTCCAGAGATGAAGGGGGAGAGAGTTCCAGAGGTGAGGGAGGAGAGAGAGTTCCAGAAATGTGGGGGGAGAGAGAGTTCCAGAGGTGAGGGAGGAGAGAGAGTTCCAGAGATGAAGGGGGAGAGAGAGTTCCAGAGATGAAGGGGGAGAGAGAGTTCCAGAGGTGAGGGAGGAGAAAGCGTTCCAGAGGTGAGGGAGGAGAGAGAGTTCCAGAGGCAAGGAGGGAGAGAGTTCCAGAGGTGAAGGGGGAGAGAGGTCCAGAGATGAAGGGGGAGAGAGTTCCAGAGGTGAGGGAGGAGAGAGAGTTCCAGAGGTGAGGGGGAGAGTGTTCCAGAGGTGAGGGGGGAAGAGAGTTCCAGAGATGAAGGGGGAGAGAGTTCCAGAGATGAGGGGGGAGAGAGTTCCGGAGATGAAGGGGGAGAGAGTTCCAGAGGTGAGGGGGGGGAGAGTTCCAGAGATGAAGGGGGAGAGAGTTCCAGAGGTAAGGGGGGAGAGAGAGTTCCAGAGGTAAGGGGGGAGAGAGAGTTCCAGAGGTGAGGGGCGAGAGAGTTCCAGAGGTGAGGGGGGAGAGAATTCCAGAGGTGAGGGGCGAGAGAGTTCCAGAGTTGAGGGAGGAGAAATTGTTCCAGAGGTGAGGGAGGAGAGAGAGTTCCAGAGGTGAGGGGGGAGAGAGAGTTCCAGAGGTGAGGGGGGAGAGAGATCTAGAGGTGAGAGAGGAGAGAGAGTTCCAGAGGCAAGGAGGGAGAGAGTTCCAGAGGTGAAGGGGGAGAGAGTTCCAGAGATGAAGGGGGAGAGAGTTCCAGAGGTGAGGGAGGAGAGAGAGTTCCAGAGGTGAGGGGGAGAGTGTTCCAGAGGTGAGGGGGGAAGAGAGTTCCAGAGATGAAGTGGGAGAGAGTTCTGGAGATGAAGGGGGAGAGAGAGTTCCAGAGGTGAGGGAGGAGAGAGTTCCAGAGGTGAGGGAGGAGAGAGAGTTCCAGAGGTGAGGGAGGAGAGAGTTCCAGAGGTGAGGGAGGAGAGAGAGTTCCAGAGGTGAAGGGGGAGAGAGTTCCAGAGATGAAGGGGGAGAGAGAGTTCCAGAGGTGAGGGAGGAGAAAGCGTTCCAGAGGTGAGGGGGGAAGAGAGTTCCAGAGATGAAGGGCGAGAGAGTTCGAGAGAGTGGGAGCAGAGATGGAGAAAGCTCGGTCCCCAACCTTGGGGATTTGACGGTGGGAGTGAGGAGGAGTCTGCAGATCAGAGTCGACGGGAGGGGCTGTAGGAGGGGTCTGGGGGAGCGAGGTTATGGAGAGACTATGTTCAGTCTTTCACATAAGTTAAAATGATTTTCAGCAGAAGAAAGAGAATATTTTGTGTTAGTATAAGTCTTAAATAGTCATATCTTCCAACAGAGATCACTTATATAGAGCGTTTGGACCGAAACATGGATCTCTCAGTCGCTCTGCCCTGAAGTCCGGGACAACACTTTTTTGTATCCTAAAGTTTTTATCCAATGAGGAGAGAGAACAGCCTGAAGTGGTGTTCGCGCACACACAGGGGGCGGCAGTGGCGGGTGGGCTTTGATGCTGACCGAGTTAAGCTAGCAGCGGTTTGTGTGAAGTTCTTCTCCAAGAATGCAGCTACAGCGTCTATATTTACTATTTATGGTAACGTGTGTCAGTTATATTTACGAGAAATATTATTTTGACATTCCTGCATTTTTGGGTCCCCCTTCACCTCCCCATACAATACTTATTTTATTTTATTAGTTTAGTTGACAGGGACATTGTGCATTAATAAAAACATTCTGTAAATACACCAGAATTAGAAAAAGCAGGCTATTTTTCATCTGCAGTCTCTGAACAGGTGTACATAGTCATACAATAATAAAATGCAGAAAACACAGACAGTCGGGGAGAACAAGAACACATACATCACACAATAAAAACACAGTTCACATACAAAAGATATTTACAAAGCAATGAGTAAATTGCCCAGACTAATGGTCACATGTCTGCTGTTATTCACCAGTTTTTCAGATGTCATTTGAAGTGAGTCTGGTGTGAATTCTCTGATGTTTGCTGGGATGGAGTTCAGTCTCTGGCAGAGGTCACAAAGAAGGCTCTGACTGAAGGCGCTCCGTCTCAGAGGAACCAGGCAGTCCCCTCGTGCTGCCCCTCTGGTTCCCCTCTGGTTCCCCTCGTGCTGCCCCTCTGGTTACCCTCTCTCCGCCCCTCTAGTTCCCCCGTGCTGCCCCTCTGGTTCCCCCGTGCTGCCCCTCTGGTTCCCCTCTCTCCGCCCCTCTAGTTCCCCCGTGCTGCCCCTCTGGTTCCCCTCTTTCCGCCCCTCTAGTTCCCCCGTGCTGCCCCTCTGGTTCCCCTCTGGTTCCCCTCTGGTTCCCCTCGTGCTGCCCCTCTGTTTACCCTCGTGCTGCCCCTCTGGTTCCCCTCTGTTTCCCCTCTGGTTCCCCTCTGGTTCCCCACTGGTTCCCCTCTGGTTCCCCTCGTGCTGCCCCTCTGTTTACCCTCGTGCTGCCCCTCTGGTTCCCCTCTGGTTCCCCTCGTGCTGCCCCTCTGTTTACCCTCGTGCTGCCCCTCTGGTTCCCCTCTGTTTCCCCTCTGGTTCCCCACTGGTTCCCCTCTGGTTCCCCTCTGGTTCCCCTCTGGTTCCCCTCTGGTTCCCCACTGGTTCCCCTCTGGTTCCCCTCTGGTTCCCCTCTGGTTCCCCTCTGGTTCCCCACTGGTTACCCTCGTGCTGCCCCTCTGATTCCCCTCTGGTTACCCTCGTGCTGCCCCACTGGTTCCCCTCTGGTTCCCCACTGGTTCCCCACTGGTTCCCCTCTGGTTCCCCTCGTGCTGCCCCTCTGGTTCCCCTCTGGTTCCCCTCTGGTTCTCCTCGTGCTGCCCCACTGGTTCCCCTCTGGTTCCCCTCGTGCTGCCCCTCTGGTCCCCCTCGTGCTGCCCCTCTGGTTCCCCTCTGGTTCTCCTCGTGCTGCCCCTCTGGTCCCCCTCTGGTTCCCCTCGTGCTGCCCCTCTGGCCCCCCTCTGGTTCCCCTCTGGTCCCCCTCTGGTTACCCTCGTGCTGCCCCTCTGGTCCCCCTCTGGTTCTCCTCGTGCTGCCCCTCTGGTTCCCCTCTGGTTCCCCACTGGTTCCCCTCTGGTTCCCCTCTGAGACACAGCGGCGTTCCTTACGTGGACAAACGGACTGAGTGGAGGAGATGACTGTTTGTGGATTATTTTATATGTTAAACAGAGATTTGAATACTTAATGAGATTGTCGCAGTTTAAAACCCTGTGTTTTTGAAGAATATTCCAGTAATGATGTCGTAAGGGCTTTTTGTCCAGTGCTTTTATTGTCTGCATAATAGTAAGTAAGTAAGTAAGTAAGTAAGTTTTTATTTATATACCGCCTTTTCACTGCAGATCTGAGTCTCAAAGCGGTTTACAATTGTTAATTTTGGGCATTTGTCTCACTCCACACAGAGATGGGAGCGGGGCCAGTACAGGAGGCACATGCCAGACCTATTGTACATATTTTTAGTGGTAGGGGAAACCGGAGTACCCGGAGGAAACCTACGCAGACACGGGGAGAACATGCAAACTCCACTCAGAAAGGCCCTGGTCCGACCGGGATTCGAACCCAGGACCTTCTTGCTGAGAGGCGAGAGTGCTATCCACTCAGCCACCGTGATTCTATTGGTTTTAATTGAGTCTATTGCCGGAGCTAAAACCTTGCACGATCCATGACCCCCGTAGTTCCAAGCAGAAGGCAACACATCCATCGATCAATCTTTACCCTTTGACTCATAAATAACAATGAAAAGTACCTGTTTGTGTTGTTTAAAGCGCCTTCCTCATCTACACAGGTTGATTGAACCCCATCACTAACTTCATTAGTGAGATTACAGCCTGCATGTACTCACAGCCGGCTCTCTCATTAGTGCCTCAAAAACAAAAGCTGACAGATAGAAAAGAAAACATTCAAAAATCTGTTTATGTGCGCCTTTCGCTTCCATTCAGGTCGTGTTATGTTTGCCCTTGGATTTCAGCGGAGAATAGACGTCGAGCTAGCAGTTCTAAATATCCTTAATTGGACCCACAGCAGCAGAGAACCTTTTGGGCATAGAGTATAAACTTGTAAACAGTAATGTCTTGATGTTTGAGCAATCTGACAGGGGCCGGGTGTGGCTGCTTCCACTCTGCAATGTGATATCATCGACTAACCCTCGCATCAAAGACCTTCGTACATTGACCATGCTGTTTTTAAAAGGCGTACGCCGACGTGAATTTTGCATGGACCAAGACGGACGCAGAGGTGGTCCAAGTCATTAGCCCGACCCCCCGCCGCGTAACATCACAGTGAAGCATTGCCCTCATTACCTTTTTCCTATTCCCCGAATCGAGATTGGATCAAGGCCAAGTCTGAACTCCCTTCGACAAAAAGGCGAAAAAGTGTAATTTTTGCAGAAAAGTGCGGCGCGAGAAGACGTTCTTCATAATGTGCTGACGCAGCCGGGACTGGGTCGGCGCGTATGGATTGAAAAACTGGCAAAAAGCGAATCAATGGGTTGCAGAGGTTTTGGGTTGTGTTCAATTTGCTCCGGAGAGGATGTGATTTAAGCGAGAGAGAGCCCTGGATCTGCTTCCGTGTCAGCCTTCTCTATAGGGGGTCTCTCTGAACATACACATGGCGCGGCGAGCTAACGGCTTCATTTGCTACGCTAGCAGTCGAGCAAATACCAGTCCAGTGGAGATCAATATTGGCACAGTGGTATGGCTCGTTTTTCTCCATTTGACGCCAGCGCAGGGATAGGTCAACTACACAAGGCCTTTGACAGTTACCAACACAACACAGCAATGTCAGTGAAGGACTAAATAGTTTATCAATCTACTTTTCACAACTACAAAAGCGTTTTGTTTAGTCTGGTTTGGTCTGCAGACTTCTGACATCGGTGACCTCTCCTCTTGCAGTGACTTTCGGGAACTCTTTGACGAAAATGCATTCCAATTGTGGAGCTTTGGATCTTACTCTCTAATTGGAATGACCTGCTGTACAGTACACTGCCGTCTGCTTGAAATAAACTTGACATTAGCTTGCGTAAAGGTCTTGTTGGATGCATCATGTGGAGAAATACAGCGCTAACACTATAGCACTTATTCAAAAGACGCCCACCTTCAGCACACTGTCGTCTTCGTACATTTTAACCCTTACATTTTAGATTAGATTAGATTCAACTTTATTGTCATTTGTGATGGCAAAAATTACTAAAGCAGGGTTTGAGTGTAATGAGTGATTTTAATGGTTAACAAACAGTTTATGGGGGGCTCTGTCTCGTAGCACAAAGGTATTTGGGACATGTTTGAGTAAGTTAAGATGCAGTTTTTTAGTGGGTTTACTGTAGTTATTAGACAGTGATTCACCATAACCTTTGATGTGACTGTTTCCCTGATCATGTGGATGATGTAATCTTGGATTGGGATAATGTCCTGTTCCCGTGTCCTCTGCCCCTGTCCTTTTGGCCCCCATTAACCCCCCTTGTTTCTCTCCCCTTCCTACAGTACCTTGACTTACCCATCTTCATGTAATCAGTGTAAGAGGTGTGACATGTATTTTTCCTCTGGCAATTGGCCAGAGAGACCTGACCAATCTGATAAAGCTTGTGTGAATCCCATTGTTCAGGTGAAGACTTTTGCTGGGCCACTTGAGGAGGACCAGCAGAAGCCTCTCCTTTGCAAAGTTATTTAAATTTGTAACCACAAATTGAGTTTTGACTTTCCAGGTGATAAGCAAATGGCGAAGAACTTAGAAAATCAAAAAATCCAAGGCACTCGTGGTCAGTAGTTTAGAAAAGTGTGGATTAAAATATGCACCAAAGTGTTTCAGCCAAGCTTGGCCTTCTTCAGGGTGCAAATGGTGGCCCCAGTGCCCATGTGATTTATATAGGGAGGGGCTTCATTAGGCCCTTCTCTAAACATTATTTAAATTTGTACTTTGTTACTTCATTAAACTACACAAATGCAGTTCTGTTTCTCTGGATCATTTCATAGAAAACACATTACAAAGTCAAAACAATGCAACAAAATACAGTTTAGCGTCCAACCAGTGGTGCAAGAGCGCAAGTACAGGATAATATTTACAACACAGTTTTCACCTCAGTTTCACAATTTCTTTGGCAGCGAAACAAAAAAGACGTTAATTAGAGGGATTTAAAAATACACTGTGACAGATGCCAAATTAAAGCTTTAACGTTTGGTTAAAGGCAGAAGCCGATACTGTAATCTACAGTGGCTTTTTGGGGCCTCGACCTGAAACAGAATTAATTCTCGCCCATGGGAAGATGACACACTCCAGCCTCTGATTGCAGGTCTTTCTGGGGCAAGTGCCAGAGCTCCACCGGGCCATAGCTCCACCGGGCCAGAGCCAAGTGATAACGCTGCCTTTTGTGGTGTAACTTTTTTTCTTGTGCATATTTTATGTTTTAAACTCTCGCAAACTTGACATTCTTGACTGTCGAGAGCAGAAGAGGAGACAGAGGAGACAGAGGTGCCCTTGGTCGGCTTCATCGGGAATGCTGAGTCAGGCGAAACGCAGAGGGGAGAGTTTGTTAGGCCTGTGTTTTTGTATCGCAACTGAAATGAGACGATAGTTTGGTGGTTTGATCGTACGGATAACGTGTGTGGGATGAAACAAACAACATTTTAAGGATTTCAACACTAGAATTATTGATACACTGCAAACAGAGACTAATTATGAGGCGATATAGGCTTGAATCAAGTGTTTTTTATACCTTAAATTGAGGACATTCTGAAGATTTGCCAAATGAGTTGAGCCAATTAGTCCTACTTCGAACCCTTTTTTCTCATTCCAAGGGAGACATTTCTTGTATATTTTTTTCAAACAAGATCATTTTGCTTGTCTCATCGGCAAATCTTCTTTAAGGCATTAAAAGTTTGCTCAAATTAAGATTCATTTAGCCACATTGGAGACATTTTTGACTTATTTATCATCACGTTTTGCAGTGTAGTAGTTCACATATGATCAGCAGAAGACCTGGGAAGTGGGACAATGTGATGATGCGATAGTAGTGCAATATTTGGGCCGCATTTGGACATAATTGCGGTTCTTAACGTATTACAAAACGGCAAGTATTGTGATTAGCTTCTGCGATACACTGCGATTCATGTCCATCATACAGTATTTTTCAACAGCATTACAAACTTGGAGGAAGAAATAACTCAACTTTAATGTCATTTTTTTTTAGTCTGCGCATGAATTGAAGCAAGAACTGAGGAGGGAAGTGGAAAAAAAGAAATTCTTGAACATTCAGGACACAGGACCTTACTACAGGAGCTCCGGGCACACCACATGCATTATTCACATACAGTACAACAGACTGGACTCACAACAAGCTGACAGCTACATGTGCTGGAAAGGGAACACGGACAAGATCCTCTCTATAGAAGATGGTCGTGATCGCAAACGAGAAAGAAAATGGATAATTGTTTGATTGTTTGAACCCATGTATTCCACCCAATGTGAATCCAAGGCACACAATTGGGACATTGGGAAAAATACTCTGTCAGAGTCGGACAATCTCGATCAGCCTCTCCTGATCTGAAAACGTCCTTCAGCAAGAAAGAGTAAAGGGTTGAGTATTGTACATTCTTACTCCTCCTACTGTTTTCTACCGGCTTCTGTTCCTCTGTCTGTGTTTGTCTCTGTATAATCAATATCGAGATTCCCAACATTTAGATACGTTTTTGTTGATGTTTCGTTTGTTTATGTCATGTATGTATTCGAGTAGGGAACTGGCGGAGCTTGCATGTTCTCCCCGTGTCTGCCTTCAGCCCACGCTTGAAATTTCCGCACTGAGGATCAAAAAGAGGTTATTATATCTCATCTCACGTTACATAGGGTGATTCAGAGGTGTCAGATAATCACCATACAGCACTATACATTATGTCTAATTTAAATAATTTGCACATTTCAGCGTCTTTGTGCGTCGTTACCGGTTGTCAGGTATTTGAATGGTTTTCTATATGCGCTCCATATATAAATGTACAATGGTCTCTTACCTCCTCCTGCTTAATTGCCTCTCTCGGGGACGTTAGCATCCCACTGGCTTTCTGTGGATTAAAGTTGTACACACTGCTGTATCGCCTCCGCACTCACACTCTGGACTAACACACACACACACACATATACTTCAGGCTAACACACA